TGAGCAACAAAATCAGGCTGGAGACTAAGGTGTGCCTGATCCAAGCTATAGTCTTCACAATTACGTGCTATGCATCGGAGAGTTGGACAGTGACTAGGGATGATAGAAAGAGAATTGATGCCTTTGATCTGTGGTGCTGGAGAAGAGTGTTGAATATACCATGGACTGGTAGGAGAACAAATAAGTTTGTCCTAGAGAGGGTGAAGCCAGAATGCTCCTGGGAGTCAAACATTCTGAAGCTTCATCTGACATACTTTGGGTATGTTGCAAGGAGGGCTGGTCCTTGGAGAGGGACATCATGTTTGGGAGAGTGGAGGGACGGGGCAGGAGAGGAAGAGCCTCGATGAGATGGATCGATTCTGTGAGTGGAGTGGTGGGAATGAGTGTGTTTGAGACGGCAAGGTTGGCACAGGATAGAACTGCATTTAGAGCCCTTGTACATAGGATCACTATGAGTCACAAGGGACTCAATGGCACATAACAACAACAACAATCCATTGAATAGCTTTGCCACAAGGATGGCTAGAAACATGTGGAAAGAGTGTATTAACCTATCAAAAAAAGAATTGGAATAGATGGTATACCAATTGACGTAGTTCAGCTAACAGATGCTTCCCTGGATGTGCTCACAAAGTGGTGCCAAGAAATCTGGAGAACAACCACTTGGCAAACTGACTGGAAGAGATTTGTTCCCAGAACAAAGAAGGGGGACCCAACAGAGTGTGGAAACTACAGAACAATACCATTGATTTCACATGCAAGCAAGATTGTACTGAAGATTATCCAAAAATGACTGGAACAGTACATCAGCAGAGAACTACCAGAAGTCTAGGCTGGGTTTAGAAGGAATCATGGTACTAGGGATATTGTAACTGATGCTAGATGGATTTTAGCTGAAAGCAGGGAATACCAGAAGAATGTCTATCTGTGTTTCATTGATTATGCAAAGGCGTTTGACTGAGTGGATCATAACAAACTGTAGCTGACTCTGAGAAGAATGGGAATCCCAGAACATTTAATCATGCTAATGAAAAACCTATACTTGGGCCAAGAGGCAGTCGTCAGAACAGAGCAGGGGAACACTGCATGGTTCAAAATTGGGAAAGGTGTACACCAGGAATGTGTCCTATCTCCATACCTTTTCAACCTGTATGCAGAGCAGATTATCCGAGAGGCTGGCCTCTATGAGGAGAAGTGTGGTGTCAGGATTGGTGGAAGATCTACTAACAATCTGTGTTATGCAGATGACACAACCCTGCTTGCTGAAACTGAGGAGGACCTCATGCACTTGCTGCAGAGGATCAAGGACTGCA